TGTGGACCTTATCCTAAAAGTACTGACTGTTAAATTAACCCTCCCCCCTTTAGTGAGTCTTTTCTTTTACACCGTCATACAACTCCTCATGCAGGCGTCAGGCAGTAGCGCTCCCTGCTGTGACTCTCTGTTCTTTCGTACAGTGTGTCTGCTAGAGTGATCCTCAGCGGAGGAAACCCAGATCCACCAGCGATAACCTGCATATCAAGCTCTCAATCTGCCACATGCTGAAGGGGGAAAATAAATAGCCTTCATCTCTGTGAAAGTGTGCAAAGTGCTAAATCTCTCCCGTCGTGAAAGTGGGACACACGGAGCAGAGACGAGGAGGACGACAAGGGCACTGGACCAGTTAGAAGGGGGAGAATCATCACAGCTCCCCTCCCTTCCTCCCCTCATTGTTTCACTTTCACTATCTGCATTATTCAGATTCTCCCCCGGGCCGTCTGCCTGCTCGACCTTCGCCTCTGAGATACAAAACTGAGATTACATGTTGACAAAGCAATCAGTGAACACTGGCCAGGGCTGCAGGTGTCATCCTGTCTTCCTCTCCGTGTGATTGTGGTTCCTCTCTGCGCCCTTATTTTGAAAGGATCCGGTCATCCACACCAATTCAGAAGTGTCCCATAATTATAGACTTGTCACTACTGATTTTCATCAACAACTGTGCATGTGATGATCCGGCAGGGATGTTAATAAGCCCTCGATTGGAGTTAATAAGCTGCAGGCCGCCTCAGCATCCCCCATAATCCTTTGCACAGCAGATTTAAAGATGAGGCCCAAGGATGGCGTCACTGAATGCTCTGTTCGGCCCCTGGGCTCCATAAAAGCAAAGTGCTTTTCCTGCAGAATCTTTATTTTTTAGTCAAAGTTTATGTCCGCTCACTTGGCCACGCTCCGCTCAGCGCAGGATTCCTCCTCTTAATTAGGGGAGCTGTTTCTGCGGCAGACAGGCCTCCCACAGGGTCACGATTCAGAGAAATTCTCCAGCTAATGGGAGCCAGTGAGCGCTTTGTTCCTTTTAATGCTCCTCGGCTGGGAAAGCTTCTGACACTTTGTGAAATGGGCGTTCTGACAGAAAGGATGTGAGAAGTGTCCGACACAGCGTGGTGATAAAAACGTCAAGAGCCACTCCTCCTCCTCCTGATGAAGAAAACGTCTCACCAATTGTGTGTTTTTGCCTTTATTCATGCTGGAGCTCAGTAGTCAATGTCACATGGTTATGATATATGTATGAAATAAATCCTCTGGAGACAATGAAAAGGTAAATGAGAGTTTCTGATCACTAAGATCTGCCTCTTTCTTTATCCAATTGTCCTTTTTTTCTGTGAAAAAAAGATATTGAAAAGAAAAGAAGGAGTGATCAAACTGGCTCCTCAAACCAAAGAAACGCCATTTTTTTCTACTCTGATGTGTAGGCACACTCAATGAAAAATCTGACTCTGTTAACCACTTGTCTGTTGGGATGGATATTTATTTTGATAGATTTAAAGGGGTTTTTCTGTAATTATAAAGTGAGGTTGTATGAGTTGGATGCTGTTCATCTCAGCCCCTTTAATGAAAAACAGCTCAGAGAACCAGCATGCAAGCTAGGCTATACACGACCTGCAGACACGGCCAACCCTTAGCTACAACTAAGCTAATCTGGGGAGACCCTGATCCAGGTTCTGGAGTTAAGGTTAGGGTTAGAGGTTAGGGTTAGGGTTAGAGGTTCAGGTTAGGGGTTAGGGTTGGAGGTAATGGTTAGGGTTAGGGTTAGGGTTAGGGTTAGAGACAATGGTTAGGGTTAGGGTAAGAGGTAATAGTTAGGGTTAGGGGTTAGAAGTTAGGGTTAGAGCTAACGGTTAGGGTTAGGGTTAGGGTTAGAGGTTAGGGTTAGAGGTTAGGGTAAGAGGTAATAGTTAGGGTTAGGGTTAGAGCTAATGGTTAGGGTTACAGGTAATGGTTAGGGTTTGAGGTTAGAGGTTAGGGTTAGAGGTAATGGTTAGGGTTTGAGGTTAGGGTTAGAGGTAATGGTTGGGGTTAGGGTTAGGGGTTAGGGTTACAGGTAATGGTTAGGGTTAGAGGTGAATGTTAGAGTTGGGTTAAAATACGTCTTTTAAACACATGTTTCACAAGAATATTTCTAAATGTCATTTAGTGAAGTTTCTATACACCTCTTTTGAATTACTTGATAAACTTAATACTTTGTCAGTTAAGTCAAATCTCTCAGTCTGGTACAGTAAAACCCTGTGACCTAAGTTCAACACAGTGACCCCCTGAGCTCCACTTTAGTCTTCATGTTTTCTGCCCGCATCTCTGTCTGCCAGGCATAAATAACTCTGTGATGTATTTAAAAACTCATCACAGGGTAATAAACACCTCTCCTGAGTTTGACAGTAATCAGTGAAGCAGATTAATTACCTTTCTCTGAGTATACAGCTGACACAGAGCCTCCTCTGCTCTGTTCACACAGTAAAAACCTGCCTCTGTGCCTCACTCTCCTGGTCACAGAGATTCCTTTAAAATTCTGAGCTCAGCTTCATCATCAGGCTCAGACGTTGTTTTAATGACCGGCACAGTGTGTGTTTGACGCCGGCTCCAGATCGGCAGCAGCTGACTGCACACGGAGCCTCAACGCTGCTCGTACTGACAGCGAATTCTAAGTAGGACACCGGCACTGTACGAGCGAGCTCCTGAAAGCTGCTCCAGCTTATTTTTTCTTTAATTTAACTTCTTATGAGGCTCAAAGTGAGGATGAAGTGAAGCGAGCAATGAATCACAATCCACAGTTTGTCCTTCACCTCATTTCTCAGGTGATTTAACCTGTTGCACAACAGTCTTGATTGCTACGTTTTGGCAGACTTTCATTAGATTTTTCGTTTTTCTCAATTTGATTAAAAAAGATGTAAAATTTTTCCAATCAGTTCTTTCATTGAGTTTCCGACGCGACTGCAACCTGGTTAAACTTTTCATTTGGATTGTCAAACTATGTTACAGGAAAGATAATCAAAGACTTGACCCAGGACAGCAAAAATGTTCATCAAAACTACTTAAACAGGAGTAAATTTGTCTGTTTTTGCACGCAAACTCTGATTTGATTTTAGGCTCATGTGTTTGTTCATGAGTGCAAATTAATCATAAATTGACAGAGCTCAGGCTAGTCGACAATCAGCGTATTTTCTCACTCATGGATAGCCAATAAGATCCAAATGTGGAGGTTTAAAATAAAGAAAGAGACAATATCTTTGAGTAGTGGTGTGTCACTCTTTCAAATCACTGCTTGTGTGCTCTGTAACAGTCGGAGTCGCTGCGTGGGCTTCATGTCAAGTCAGCTTTTGTTGTGTGGTAGGTCAGTGGAGTCATATACTGTGGCATCAGCGGGTAACTCATGACTTCTGACTGGTATTTCTCTAAAATATCAAATAATGCTGGAATACATTTTTTCCTCTGTGAAGAGTTTACACCCAACTTTGTTCTGCTCAGGTTTCATGAATGAGAGCCACTGTCTTTCTAATACGACCACCTGTGAGGAAACAAGGTATTGACAGAGATATGCTGTAGTTATCAGAGTCACAGTGCGGAAGAAAGAGGGTGTTTTGTCCCCATGAAGCCCACCTGACTGAGTGCGGAGCTTCAGCAGTGAGGTTAAGTAGAAATAAGAAGCCTCCTCACCTGGAATCAGCGCCTGCAAACAGTCTGACTTTCAATTAACACACTCGTGCCCTCCCTATCACTCCGCATTTTCGTCACACCTCGCAGCGGCAGAGCAGCTGCACACACACAAACGCACACACACATTCTTGTTTGCGATGGGGGGAAATTGGAAACTGGAGTGTGACTTGACTTTGTGGAGGACGGGCTGTTGGGGGGGAAAAGATCAGCGCACCGTATCAGACATTACTCTGAAAATAAAAACAGCTCTGCTTCATGAGGCGGCCGGGGGGGAGCAGCAGATGTCTCCGCCCCCCAGACAGAGGGTCAACGCTGGGTTAAATTTCAGAGAGCTGGGAGACATATGTTTCTGTGTCAAAATCCTCATCAGCCTGAGAGTTAGAGTCAGGTCAATGTGTTCAAAACCAGATGAGAGGTAAGCATCATTACGAGGAGGCTCCATGTTGTTCGTTACTGTCTTACATTTTTTTAGGCTTAAGATTTCACAGTGTAATATAAAAAATCATTTAAATCTTTATATTCCTCTGTGCATTGATCTAACACAAGTTTTCTTCATATGCTGGTGTACCTTCGGCTTTTAAAATATCAGAAAACCACCTTTATCAAAATATGATATCCCATAGCAGCCATCTTCATCTGACATCAGACTCAGGATGGAAATAGAGAAATCAACTAATGCTGCGTTCAAGTTACCGCAGAAGTCAGAGGTCAGAGTTGGAAATGACGTCACACCCGAGTTACCAGCGTTTCAGTTACCAAGTCAGAAAAAAGCAAAATCGGAGGCGGAAACGAGATGGCTACATCTGCGAAAGTTATTTTAACGCTTGATATTTTAAGTTATTTTAGCATCCCCTTTTGTAGATGTAGCCATGTTGTTTCAGCCTCCAATTTTGCTTTTTTCCGACTTGGTGACTGAAACCATAGACATCATATATGTAGAGGCCTTAAAGCCTGACGCTGCCTATTGGAGCTCATGTATCAGCGCGGCCGCCATCTTGGATGGGTCCCCCATGCGCCTCCAGTGCATTATGGTAGGTAGGAATGCCCAACCATATTAATAATAACTCTCCGAATCGCTGCCCAATTTTTACACTGTCTGGTTTACGGCAGGGATGTAGCCATAATACTCGACAATGTCACATGTAGCCCCCTCACCCAATTCCTATTTTTTTTTAAATACTATTACCTACCGGATCATACACACAGTATTTTGCATGGGAGAGGAATTGGTGATGCTACAAAATATAAACCAGGGAATTGTTTGATGTGTCTCTGTGAGTGTTAACTCCCATGCATGTCTTAAGATAGCCCCCCAAATGTGCACAACATCAATCAACAGGAACTACACGTTTAAATTCACTAATGTTCACATTTATTCACAGGATAAAGAAATAGAAAGAGAAGAAAAAATATAGTTCTTAATACCCGGGATTTTATAAATCAGTCTGTGTTACCACGTACGTTGGCGCGCTGTTGGAGCTCTTGTGTGGGTGTGATTTCCAAGTCATTTGTACTCACGGTCCCTTGAAAATTTAGTGTGTTGTTATAACCATCACTGAAGCACAGAATGGAAGAAGGAGAAAGTCGGTCCGCATGCCGAAGTCCCTGGCGCGGCAAGTCCGGAGCACCTCTACTGTCGCAGCGCGAGTGGCCAGTATCCGAAGCAAACTGAGAGCACACAAAAAACAAAACTTCACATACGCGTACTCACTCACAACGTGCCTGAGATAACAATAAGCAGTCTGATACTCACTCAGGAACTTGAAATTAACATCCGACCTCGCACGTGCATCCTGACTCTAGTCTTCCTCTGCTCCTGCACAGTCGATGCTAGTCAGCTAACAATTTAGCATATAGCACATTTACGAACCTCGCCGAATTTACCAACAACACTCACCCGCACGTCCCGAAACAACCACACACCCCCGTCCCGATCCAACACACCGAGCCCCAATCCTGCTGGGTCTTCCTTTAACACTTAACAACGAAAGAACAAACTTTCACACTATTATTCCGCCTTTTATCGTCACCGCTGGAGCATTTTTCCGCTCTGTCAATCACCGAGATGAAAACCCCGCCTTCCCAAAAACTGACAGGTCCCACTCCTCACCCAAACTTGACAATGATTGGCGATACGCTCGTGACGCCTGTCAATCACGCAATACAGGGACAATCGGACATGAGGCGTTCAAAGTCTGCCTTAACTGAGGGATATTTGAAAACTTTAACCACAAAGTTACATTCCTGAGATTATGAGGTGATTAGGTGAGGTGATCTTACATCATCAACAAGAAAAATAAGAGCTATCACAGAATCAAACAACTTTAAGAATGAACTCAAACACACACGTTAAAAAATAACCAAAATATCTTTTAATCCTATATGTGAAATGTAATCCTACATGATCTGGTTTTAATACTGCGTTGGGTTTTTCAACCATAGAGTGCAAAAAAAAAAAAAAACAGGCATAGTTGCTCTTTCTCCATTGACCCCGTTTGAGTGGAGAGACCCCTCCAATATGATGGCGACGCTGGATTATGCTCCAGCATGTAATGAGGCGTCTAAGTGTTTAATGTCTATGACTGAAACGCCGGTAACTCAGGTGTGACATCATTCCCAACTTCGACATTTGACCTCTGAGTTGACTCGAATGCAGCGTAAGCTCCTGAAGAGTGCAAATGAAGTTGCAGTAACCAGGGATCCCTGGACATGAGCAGTTATGTCAGAATAACTGCTGCACACCATACAAGCATTGATCTGACACTTTTACATGCACTACAGCATATTTCTTAATGTGTCATAGTGTTATCTTTCAGAAAAATATCAAAACAAACCCTGTACTTGACAGAATAAACTGAATTGATGCTTTAAAACCACAGCAGTCTGATTCTGCGAAGGTGATCATTACCAAACTGAGGGGTGGTCTTTTAAGTGTCAGCATCCACCTGAAAAAGTCACCTACTCAAGACACAGGGAGGAATTTGGTTCAAGTCTTCATCTTGATGTGAGAGTTTAGGCTCCAAATTGAAATCCATGTAAATGTAAAGTTAAGATAAGTGTTTGATTTGGAGATGGCAGAGACATACAGCTGCTAATAAAGCCTCCTGTGTGAGGATGCTGCAGAGCATTAAAGGTAGAAATCACCAAAGTGAGAAAACAAGGAGATAATCTGATTGTCTATTGATTGTGGATGTTCTGCTGTGCACACATTTAGTGTGGCTGCGGGCAGGATGTGCAATAAGACCAGCCAGCAGTGTGTGGTTTCTCAAGTAAACACAATTTCTAGCATATTGTATTTGTTGTGCGTCCCTGCAGCAAATAAATTTGTTTGAAAAAAACTCATGTCGGGTGGTAAAATGGACTTGTGTATTGCTGTCTCACATAATGAGGCGTGTTTTCCCTGCAAACAGACGCTCTCTGGGATCGGCGGGACTTTGATGTGATCACTCCGCTGTAATTTTGAAAACAAAGTCTTCTGTTGTCGTTTTCAGAAGATGAAACATAAGCTCAGATATTTATGCTCTATTATTTAATAGTCCAAAGAAACAGTGTTTGTTTTGGCTGCTGCAGGGTCCCGGTATCTGTTATTAATCCCAGTCCCTTTTACAGTCTGAAGAGGAGAATCAAAAGCATGTTTATTCCTGGGGGCTGGTTGTTTAAAATGACCAGTTTTCTATTTATTCTTCAGATTTTTTCCATTCTTTTTTCCCTTCACTTTGTGGACCATGATTGCCATATAAACGAGGTTCATAATAATTACCAATCTCTCCAATCGTCAACCATGCCTTTAAATTAAGCATCTTGGATTAGCAGTTGTTGTGAATTAACGCTATATAAATGAAGATGGATTGAGATTATTATTTGGATAATTCACTGAAAAAGTTCACTTTATTCTTCTGCAGGTCTAATGTCTACCTTATGTTTATTATAACTGTGTAAATTCAGTAATTCAATATCTCAAGCATAAACTACATGTTGAACTGATTTCTCAATGACCCATTTTCATGTAGGTATCATGCTTAAATCCAGCTCTCTGCTTGGATCAGGATGATTGTGTGTTTTTGGATCAACGTTATCCCAACCCTGCTCAGGAGTTTTGAACAGAACAAACTTCAGGTTTTATTTGGATTAAAAGAAAATCCTGGATTACCAGTTTCGTAATCCTTTTTCTTTTCAACAATCCTCCCTCCAGTTTTGATTCTTTGTGATAAACGACCAGATGACTCAGAGTCATCTGGGTTCTGCTTTCCATCCTCTCTGTACCGATGTAAGTTCCTGATTCTAATCCCAGCAGGATGTCTCACTTCAGCAGTATTTCCCCTCCTCTTTTCTGACCTGAACAGGAGCAGGTGACACAGATTGATTTTGTTTTGTTGTGAGGCTCCATGATAAGTGGACAGAAAATAACGAGTATTGTCTTATTAATGGATGGAGAATGTATTACCGGTCATACGTTGATGATGAATAATACATGAGGAATAAATAGTCACCAGTGGCAGCAGTGGGCTGTATATCATCAGAGAGGCCAAATCATTTAATGGCGAATGTTTGATGGTGTTTCTTCACCTGACTCATACTAAGTGACACTTAAATGGAAATGTGTTACCTCAAAGTCAGGGGGAGTAAAAGGCCTCCTGTAATGAGCAGACATTTTGTCAACATGATAGCTCAACAGTTTCCCCCTGAGCCTCGCTACAAAAACTTCAACGATTACCTTTATTACTACTTCAGTCCCTTATTGTTTTTCTTCGTAATCTGTCTTGTCACAAGCGCCATACCAAGAGTCATAGCAACACTAGAGTCTACTGACTTTATTTACATGACAGCTATTTTTTTCCCCAAAGAGACCCATTATCTTCATTTCCACCTTTCATTCTGTCAGTCTGGGATACCTACAGAAAAGTTTTGCATGACCTGCAGCTTTGAATACTTCTTATTTATCTTACAGTGGCATCTGTAAAACCCTTAATTTCAGCATTATTCAGCCTCTGCCTGAAACACTTTCTTTTGGCTGCTTTAACACTGTGAGAAAGTTAGACACAGCACGATAACCATAGACTGTATATACTATGGACAACTTGGTTCCGTCTTCCGCCAGTATACAGATTTGAAGCCAAAAAGCTCTCGGTATTTCTGCGATTTTTGTCCAACTCCTGAAACAAACATTGCGCAGTAGCATTGAACGCATTCAGTGGGAGAGTCGCTCGACTCAAACAGCGTATCCCCCCGGTGAGCTACGCAATCTCCATACGCCCATAGGCTGTATCAGGTGTCAATCATAGAAAACATGAACCCCCTTAAAAACTTTTTAAAATGCAGCTCCACAGAAAAAAGAGGACTTGAGCACAAACGAATCTTACAGTAACTACATGTCAACATCGCAACCAGGAGGAGAAGCTTTTATATTCTGTGAAATTAATTTCTAAAGTTTGTCCACAGCTCTATAAGGATGGCTGGTGGAGGCGGGATTTATGACCTATACTGCAACCCGTCACCAAAGGGTGCTGTTCTCAGGGTGGTTTCACCCAGCGAGGAGGCAGACGGCACCCATTTTATATACAGTCTTTGGTTATAACCCACCGGTTATGCCTTTTAAGCAAATCTTCAAGGCTATCTGTCAGTGTCCATTGTAACTCTATTTTAGTTTTGGTTACATAGGCTGCTGTTTTTATGTTTAGTGTTTATGGGTGTTACTTTTTAAACAGCTTTGTAGTCGTGAAACAACCCCTGAAGTTACGCCTCGACGGAAACTGTCTGAGGCTGTTAAAGACAGCCATTGTAACGAAGTACTTGCTGTTGTTTCTTAAATTAGTCAAAGCTAAAAAGATGTTTGGTTGTTGGTACTATGGCTAGGACCCTATATGTACTGTTGATGAAGTTAGATGCTGTTCTGAGCATTATTTGTGGCTATAGAGTGGCGTTTTGGTTGAGGTTTGTTTATGGCTCCTCAGACCACTGTGTATTGCTATCATGCGGTCGTTACTAAAGTTGGTATAACTAGAGAAGCAAGCGGTCGGCAACATTCATCTCTCGAGGGGGTGTCTAACTCAGTGTTATGGTGTGTTTGACCCTAAATTAATTTTACGCCTGAATATCTCTTTAAGCTGTTGTGTTAATGTCACTTACAGCTCAGGGTGTTACTTTTTGCAGAACTTTTTAGTCACGAAACATGTCTTGAGTTAATGCCTTCATAGAGAATATCTGAGGCTACCTGTCAGAGTCCATTGTAACTAAGCATAGATACTCTAACAGCAGAGGTCAAGAGTGACAGCAGATATGGAACTCGTCCTTCACTGACCGCTGTTACTTCCACTGCAAAGGAAAGGAGAGCAATTGGAGGTATGAAACCATGACTAGTGGAAAAACTTTTTTTTGTTTTTTTTACAGCAGCTGGCAAAGGTCACAAAGCATTTCCAGAACATGTTTATGTATGTTTATTTTATTTGTCAACTTTATTAATATGAAGTGACAGTTGAAATCGAAAACCAGGCTTTAGTTACAAGAAGAGGAAGAACTTTATTGAGCCCCAAAGGGAAATTCAAAATTCTAATTCAAACAACCTCACCAGAGTCGGATAGTTACACAAAGTTATTGTAGGTCATAGTCTGCTGACTGCTCACATCCTCGCCATTATCTGAGGCAGTCTGAGAACTTTTGGACCAACTGTTGGATAGTCAGATTGAGTTTCTTTGTTACAGCTGGTGGGGGAGGAAAAAAGTGTTTCAGGAGATTTTCAACCTTTTTGTGAGGCTTCACCCTGACTCAGTATTCAGAGATCGTCTCACTTTATATTCAGGCAGAATTTTAAGGAAGAAGTTCATCACACAATACGCTTGTTTTGTTAGCCCAATAAAAGCCCCTCTAACTCACTTAACTCAGTTTTCTCCAACACAAAAAGCTTTAAAATCAGTGAAGCACCAGCGTCTGATTGGTTCAAGTCCTGGGTGTAAAACTGCAGCTTAAGGTTCAGTCTTTACGCTGCACAGGGACACACAAAGACCTTCATATGTAAAACACAGTATATTGTTTTACTGACACAGCTGTTAACGTGACCTCCATTTCACT